CTTGGTCGCAGATTGGTGTTGTGTTTTAGAGCATCAGTATCCTTTTGCAATTGGTGCATCTTTTATTAGGAATAGATTAATTTATCTTATTACGATTAGAGTAGACTGGAGATTCTAGAGACTCTTAAAAGAAGATCCTTGACTCATTTTCCTCTATTTAAAAACAAAAGACTTTAAAAATGAGACCAATATTCCACTATTCCTTTGAGACTAAGGAATAGAGGAAGACCGGCTCTGATACCAAAATGTAACACTCTAACCCAGCCGGGTACTATTTTTACCAAAACACCCTTGATAAACCGTGAAATAAAATAAGAACTCAAAATACTTGAAAAAATAGCGGAAACTTTTCATAAATAACTTTAATAAATACTAAAAAGAACTATCATTACTTAAACACGAAGCCCTAACACTTGGACCAACTCAAATCTTAAAAACTTTAATCTGATCTCCAGTTCATACTCGTAATCATAAAATTAAAACTAACTAAATAGTCTATACTAGCGCTGCTACTGAAAACCCTGACTGGGCATCCTCTGTGATGCTAGTACCGCCTTCCTCTAACTAGTTTCCCTCAAACTGTTCCTCTCGATGCTCTCTAACTGCTCCTCTAGCTCTTCCTCTTCAAACTCGAAAAGAAGACTCCTCGATTCTTTACTCGAAGAAATCCCTCCTTTTTCGACTTGCCTCGGAAAACCTCAGTTATCAATTATCATTGCCAACACAGCTCGATCTTCTTAATTAATTCATCTTGATCACCACAGCCTCATGACCTATCCACCTCTACGTTGAGCCAAAACCCCACAGTCCACCCATTCTGATCTGAAACCCTCCACCTTCTTTGACAAATCGATCTTGAATTTACATAACCTTATAATCAACTCTTTGTAAATCTTAATCATATATCCTCCCCACTTTGTCAAGTTGCTGGCGTCAAGAGGATTCTTGGCGTACTTAGCTTCATCGGTCTTTTGGGCCTGCTCCATCTCCTATAGCCGAGTGAAGTCTTCTTCGGAGAAATCCATTGTTGGGAATGCAAAGCGAAGCTGTGACAAGCTCTTCTCTGCGAGCTTTTTGTTTAGGGTTTAACGGAGGTTTATGAGAAAACAAGTGTGGTTTCTTTTGTCTCCTGACAGCCGGCGATCGGTGATGAAAAGTAGTGGGCGGTGCAATAGGAAGATGGGCGGCTAAACTAGTCTCCTCTGTCGGGTTAAGTTTTAGGTTTAATATATATTGGTTCTAGGTGAGGCCGATTGAGAAGTAAGGTTAGGTTAGGGTTTAATTTCCTCGGGGTTATTTTGGGAATTTCATAATTACGGGTGAGTTTAATCCAAAACTTAGTTAACGTCCATAATTTTCTCACTTCATGTCGAAACTCGACATCGTTTGAACAATTAGTTCACATTTTTAATCCTCATCGGTAATACGGTGGAACTTGACCCAAGAGTATGATAGTCATTTTGACTTTTGGGAAGAGCGGGGTGTAACATTAACACACTTTGAAAAACTCTACAAGAAGCCACCATAGTTGACACACTTGAGAGTTTTTGGTTGTATGTGTTTTGACAGTACACTTAGCAATCATAGAAGTAAGTTTGATTCTAGAGCCAGAAAGTTTATTTTCATTGGTTTCACATCAGGGATCAAAGGTTTTAAGATCTATGATCTTACCAGTTATGAAGTTTTCACCTTCAAGGATGTTCAATTCTTTGAAAGTCATTTTCCATTTCAAGAAAATGTTACAGAGACTCTGCTAGATCATGTTTACAACACTCCTTTGATCCTTCCCTTTTTTATGACACAACCTTACATATCAACCTTCTTCGCCTCCCAATCCTTCCGTAACACTAGATGATATGAATGAAATTCACTTTGAATATGATCATGACAGTCAGATAAACCACGCTAACTCAGAATAAGATAATCCTTCACCCAGTCCCACCCTAACTAGCTCTCAGGAAATCAACTAGACCAACCAAAACACTTAGCCACCACCAAATATACCATTTCAACCTGCTTCTTTCAACAACAAACTCTTGGTATCACTCATCCACTCAATTCAATAATTCAATATGATCATCTCTCACCATCTGACATATACTTTAAAATGAACAATTCCTCTCACAAAGAATCTGACTCCTAGAAAGAAGCCATACTGCCTCCCTTTTGGAATGCAACAATGCAAGAGGAATTCCAAGCTCTTGACAGGAGCCAAACATATGATGCGGTTGAGGCACCTGAGAATGTAAGGCTAATAGGAAACAAGTGGATTACATACTCAAATTCCTCTACGATGGCAGTCTAGAGAGACCCAAAACTCGTGTAGTTGCTAAAGGATACAACCAGAAAGAGGGAATTGACTACCAACACACATTTTCTCCTATAGTCAAAATGACCACCATTAGACTGTTTCTTGCCATTGCAGAAGCCAAGAACTGGTACATTCATGAATGATATATAAAGAATGCTTTCCTAATTGGCGAACTTAAAAAAAATATCTACATAAAGCTCCATGTTGGTTAAAATCCCCCACCAGGAATGAAGAATCTAGTCTTCCATCTCAAAAAGTCCCTTTATGGTCTCAAACAAGCATAAAGACTATGGTTTTCCAAACTGGTCAAAAAACTCCACTGTCAAGGTTACTCATCCAGTAAAGTTGAACATTCTCTCTTTTACAAAGCCACCTCTACTTCTTACACTTGCATTCTGGTATATGTTGATGATTTGGTTATTAGTGATTATGATCTCACTAAAATCAACAATATCAAAGCATATCTTCATGAAGAATTCAGCATCAAGGATTTGGGCGAGTTGAAATCCTTTTTATGGATTGAAGTTCCAAGAACCAGTTCTGGCATTCATATATCACAAAGGAAATATACATTGGAGAGTATTGAAGATTTTTCTCTACTCAGTACAAAGCCCATCACCACAACTATGGATTACAAGACACCTTACAGTTGTGAATGATGATCTATATCCTGATCCCAAGACATATAGATGATTGGTTGGTATATTGATCTACCTTACAACAACACGCCTAGACATAAGCTTTGTTACACAACAAGTAATCCAGACTATGTCTAATCCTAGTCACTCACATTACAAAGTTGTCGCTCGCATACTCAAATACCTCAGATCAGCTCCATCCACTAGCCTATCCTTCTCTTCTACTTTCCCTCTTCACTTGAAGGCCTTCAGTGACTCTAACTGGACCGCATGTGTTGACAGACGTAGATCAATCACTAGCTACTGTGTTTATCTTGGCGAATCTCTTCGTCACTTGAAGATTTCTCATCCCAAGTCTACAACACTCTAATGTAACAAACAATTTGGCATCGACATAGAAGAAATCCCACCTTCCACGAATGAACCAAGCAACTCGAACTTGATTGTAATTTCATTCTTGAGAAACTCCAGGATAGCGCAATCAAAGTTCTCCAAGTATCCATTGTTCACCAACTGACATATCTCTTCACCAAACCCCCTTCCTCCAACAACATTTAACCATATCCTCTCCAAGCTTGGTGTTCACAAACTCTGCCCTTCAGCCTGTGGAGAGTGTATAATGGAAAATTTCAAAACATTTGAATTTTTCTTCGCACCTTAAACAGAGTTGGAGTGATGATGTTTCATCGAGTTAAAAGGGGTAAACTCAGAGTTAGAGCGACATCATTTCGGGAAAAGGAAGGACGGGATAGACAAAGTTCACTTTAGTACTTGTTGTTATGTTTTTCTACATTTTTCTTCTTTCGGGTTCTACTTGCATTTGAAGCAACCTTGTCTTCTTCTGTATAAATTGAGACTAAATGAGATGAATCAAGCTTTAGGGTTTACAAAGTAAAATTGTTGTTAGTGAAACACTGGTCTTCTTCCATTTTTTAGCTCAAGGAAGTTTGCCAACTAGATGTTACAACTTACAACTACGTACATACAGCGCAAACTATTGCCCGATGCATTCACTCATGCACAGACATCCATTGTCCAGTGCAACAAAGGCCTCTAACTGCGGTAGAAGAAGTTGAAACTCAGGATAGGAACCGAGTAAGCCACATAGAGAACCTTAAAGGCTACAAACTCATTAGTTGCGTCTGTGTAATGGATACCATCGCAACCCACCGAGTGAGATCCCACACCACGCACTTCACCCACCGGCTGACCACACGACACCCTTATGTCATAATTGTATGATAGCCCTCCAAATTCACCTCATGCCATCAACGGACTAGCACATCCTTAGAAAAAGCCCAACAAAGCCATGTTTAACAATCACCACTTTATCTAGATTGAGGATGATAGTTTAATCGATTCCTTTTGTTTGAAAACTCTTACTATATTTGGTAACATTTTTAGTGAGATCATACTTAATGGAGTAGATATCTACATAGACAATGGCGTAATCCTTCAATTGAGACCTCAAATTTTCTCAGGAAGGACGCAACCCTTTGTTCAAAAGCATCCCTACTCGATTGTAGCTAGAGATGAACCTGATTTAATGGAGATCCTTGTCTTTTACCATTGAGAGCTCCTGCAGAAGGTAGCCCGCTGGACTTGTGTTGTGTATCAAGAATCTCCTGCCTCCTCCATCATACGAATACTGCCCATCATGCAGTTCACATAAGAGAAAGATTTTAGGAGGATGATGTAACAAGTAGCTTGAGTTATTGACAAATATGAAAGTTCTATTTGTGAAGAGTGACAAACTAAACTAACCTAAAAACTAATTCATGGCGGATTGAAACCCTATAACTTCATCAACGACTCAGTACCAGAACCTCACTCCAAACCACAAATTCTTTCATCATCTACACATTTTCAGTGATCTAAGATACATTGACACAAGTGGTGTGGACAAATTACCTTAACACCATCTTCCATCTGGGCAAGGACAGATGGAATCCACTTGGCGACTTGGGCAAAAGACATGTTCTTGGAAAAAGGAATTTGATATATAATTATGGCCAATGTCGATCATGTACAACGCAATATGGAAGCCCTACTTAGTAATAGGCTTGCCAAGTTGAAGGAAGCGAGCCCTGAAGTGAAGGAACTGCATTACTTGAATGTGCAGTGCGAAAGCAGCAAAATCTGCAAGTGTAGAGGATCCCACAACCGAAAAGCTTGTGCCATTGCTGAAGGTGGAACCAGAGAGAGTCCAGGTATGGCATCAAGAAACTAGTGTTAATGCTCTGGTCTGTAGCAACAACATAAAATAGTAACAAGTGAGAGATCCTACACGAGGCTAAATTCAGCATCAATAGCACATAATCTAATAACAACATAATATGTAGTGTTCTTTAATCAGTACCAATTTGAAGATGTATCAGAGTCAAAGCATTAGCTAAGAAGATTAATGAAGCGTAAATGAGAGGGAATCGAGAGGCGTACAACAGAAGTCGAGGATTAGTTGGCCGTCGGAGAGGGTCGGCGGAAGCGAGCAAGAAAGAGTGGCCATTTGGGAGATGAATGGAGAAGCTAAAGTTGACAACGAGAGCTCATGTGTAGGAGTTTGAACCTAAGAAGTTGAAGATCAAATGTGGGTGGGCACTCCTGCTTGCATAAAGCTATGTGGAATATTACAGAAAGTTGCTTCTTCCTGTGGATTAGTCACACAACGTGAGGCTCAACCACATAAATATTGTTTTGAGTGTTGAACCGGTAAGTGCAATCACATCTTACCGAATAAGTGTCATAATAAGTTGTCAGAGTTAGAGACTCGTAGTAGGGGAGAAAATAATTTGACCGGAGAAGACTTGAGGTAGTGAAGAAACCAATGAGTATAAAGTACATGAGAGGTAATGGGTAAAAGAACAAATTAACCAAGAATGTTGACCACATAAGTAATGTCTACTTGCATTGCATTTTAATGACCACTGGCTTATTTGCCACCAATTTCAAGACCTATCTTTCATTGGCATTTCCCAATACCTCCCTGTGGCTAGTAATGAATTTAGCCGTCTTGTAAGCCACCTAAATGCATACACAGGTAAGAAGAAAAACCTCATCGACACATTATACACTGAGAATAGTAGTAGTTATGAGGTTCAACCATTTATACATACTATCGCTAGAATAAAAAGTATGATGCATGCAGTGTTGTTTTATCAGAGATGATGTTGAAAGGAACCCATTATAGACCACGGAAAGCAGGGGGTGGGGGGTAGATAGGAGCAACAGCAACTTCCCTGCCTTACCTTACATCCATCATATGAAGAAGATATATAACAGAGAGCAGCAAAGTGGTCTCACATCTTACCCAATAAGTATCACAATAACTTGTCAGAGTTAGAGACTCATATTAGGGGAGACAATAATTTGACTGGAGAAGACTAGGTAGTAAAGCAACCAATGAGTATAAATTACATAAGAGGTAATGGGTGCAAATACGAATTAACAAAGAATGTTGACCACATAAGCAATGTCTACTTGCATTGCATTCTAATGACCATAACGACTGGTTCCTTAACCACCAATTTCAAGACCTCTCTTTCATTGACATGTTCAAATACCTCCCTTTGGCTAGTAATGATTTTAGCAAGCTTGGATGCCACCTGTATGCGTACACAAGTAAGAAGAAAAACCTCATATACACATACATAAATACATACTATCGCCAGGAATAAAAAGTGTGTTGTATGTAGTGTCGTTTTATCAAAGATGATGTTGAAAGGAACCCATTATAGACCAAGAGAAGCATGAGGTAGGGGTAGATAGGAGCAACTACATCTTCCCTTCCTTGCTTTGCCTTGCATTCATCATATGAAGAAGATATATCATAGGATAGGAGCAAGGAACATTCCATACATGAACAATTTCATAGGAGCAAGGAACATATAATGAACCATATCAGAGGAGCAAGCAGCATTTCATATAATGAACAATATCACAAGAGTTAAAGAGCATTCCATGTAGTGAACAATATGATGACCCTCAACTCTCAAAGCTAAGGAATCAACGTGCCAAAACCTCAACCCTTTGAGCTTATAGAATTGAAACTCGGAACTGGAAGAGAAGAACAGGGGAAGATAGGTTTGGAAGGTGCAACTTCAACACACGAAATCGGGGAAGAGGCTCGATCCAATTGGGTGCAACTCGTCCACGATTGATGGGAACAATCAATCGATGCTGAGCTCGCTCGTTGATGGACTTAATTACACACAACAAGGACAAATCAAAGAGCTTGAGAGACTCAATGAACATTATTAAACTTTGACTGCCGATTACAACGCAATAAACGTCCTTATATAGCTAGCTAGAATAAATCGATTGACACCCTCCTAAAACTACTGGAACTCGACAAACAATCCTCAAACAGAAAAGGAATAAAAATCCAACTCAAACAAGGAAACAAGAACAATCCTGCCGTCAGCTCCAAGTCGTCAAACAACCTTCGTCACCATCTTGGAGGCTCTCGATCGATGACTTCCAAGTTGGCCACGCATCAACCGATGCCTCTCCTCTCTAGAGTGAAATACATATTCTCATGTGTTATGAAGCTACTCCTTCGAATCGATCTCATCTGCCTTGAATGGAGCTCCAAAGTTGACTTCCTGACCATGCTTCCACACTTAGCCAATTCCTGGCAGTTTGCCAGTTTTGAGATAGCTACTTTAAGGTCTTGAAAAGCAGTCTTAATGACATTGTATGAACCCCAAGCCCATACCATCTTGTTCAAGAAGTCTTCATCTTCGAAATGACGCCCTAAAATCCCATTTCCATCCACCCATTTGAAAGAACCGAGCTCCCAAAGTTGGCTACCTGAACACCTCAATATACTTGGCCAAAATTCCAGATTGTTCAAATGAGTTGGGCTAGCTTCATGTGCAAGTAATTCGAGCTTGGTAATGACACAATTTTGGGTTGTATCAGGCTCTCCCTCTTCAAAAAGCTTTGTCCTCAAAGCTGGTTCTTTCTTCTTCTCGAATTTGGCACAGTACTGAGTCCAAATCGGGTCGGAAAATGGCATCCCAAACTCGCAATCATGCAAAACAACATTTGTGTTCTTGAGCACAAAAATTGGGGGTTTTGAATGGAGGCATCCCCAATCCAATTCACCTAATCCACACTCTTTGCCATGCTTCCAATTGAAGTTTTGGACCTGCCCCCAGTCTCGAATCATCACCATTGTCGACGAATCTTTGAGTTCTTCCTTCCCGCCGTCGGCCACATTTGAATGTTCGGATTTGGGCGTTTTTGATTCAAGCTTTGCCGAGATGAATTGGTCTCTATGAAACGTTCCTAGGACCTCCTTGAATGATTCTCCAGCGCCAATTTGGCTCGAATCGAGCCCAATCGCTCTATCCACTAGAGGGTCGGCGGCAGCCATTTGCTTCACGAACAGAGTCATTTTCGTGTGAGTTGATTCTCCAAATTCAGGTACGTTCAACTCCAATTGGTGCACTTTCGACATTTCTGGGGTTGTGGGGATCTCGTCGACAACGGCGGAAAAGTTCGAATCTTCGTCGAAGATTCCACCCAAATCGTTCTCTCTCATGCTCTGTTTTGACGTTGGCGAGCAGAGCCGCCAGTTTTAGGGTTGTCGACGAGGACTGCTCCTGCTTAGCGCTGTGAGCATTAACCTTCGCGCCACCACTCCAACTTCACGACGCTCCCCAGACTGTGCACCAAGGGACTCGTCGTTGTTTTTGCTCCAATTCGCCGTCATTTGTTGTTGATCGGCCCTGACTTCAGATGGAGTTAACGGCTTGAGTAGAAACTTGCGAGCATTGTTTGTCCACCGGTACGAGTTTCCCCTGCCGTCATGTACGACTCTGAGATCGTATTGAAACGGTCGTCCCAGCAATAGGTGTGCGGCTAGCATCGGAGCCACGTCCACCATAACTCATCCTATTACTCGCCTATTTGGAAGTGAATCTTTGCCTGCTTGTTTACCTTGAGGGTGTCGTATTCGTTCAACCAGTGTAGGCTGTACGGTTGAGAGTGCTTAGCCGTCGTAAGCCCGACTTTCTTAGCGGCATCTAGACAGATGACGTTCGTGCAGCTGCCCCCGTCAATTACAACGGACAATAACTTTCCTTCGACTGTGCAACGGGTGTGAAAAAGGTTGTCCTGTTGCTCTTCGTCAGCGAGGGAGTCCAGCGTAAGGACACGTTGATTCACGCCGAGAAACTTACCAGAAGTTGGGACTTCTGCCTCAATTGCTTCGTCAACTTCAGGGTCAGAATCAACCTTGTCATCGTGGGGATCTTCTTTGTCGTCTTCGGAGACATACTCCCCATCGCGAAGTAACAAAGCCCTTTTATTCGGACATTGATTGGCCTTGTGGCCTCTGCCGAAACATTTGAAATATTGTATACTGCTTGTCGACCCTCTCGGTCTTTCGTGAGTCACCGGAGAAATCGTTCGAGGCGCCGCTTTGGTCCCATCCACTTTGTTCTGTTCGGCAGTGGCTAACGGAGCATGTTCAGAGGCCGGTTTTGACGTTGAGTACCTCCTTCCCATGCTTGATCACTGCTGTTTCTCCACCTTGATCACCATATGTATAACTTCCTCAAGTTCCACTAACTGCCGCAGCTCTATCTCATTCCTTATGTCTCAATTGAGACCATGGAGGAACCGAGAGATCGTGGCTTCCCGATCCTCGCGAACATCGGCACGCAACATCAATAGCTCGAGCTCCTTAAAGTATTCGTCCATGGAGCATGTTCCTTGTTGAATGCCCTGCAAAGCTTGAACAATTATCGCTGATAATACCCCGGGACAAATCTGTCTCTCATCAAGCCTTGCAACTCGTTCCAGGTTGTGATTGGAGGCTGTGAATTTTGCCTTCTCCGTAGCTGCGTCTTCTCCCACCACATCGATGCATAATCCAAACGACGATTTATCTTATCAAATTGGGCCTGAAAAGTCACATTGAGATGTGCAGTAAGAGTCTGCATAAGCTCGTTCATGTTTACTTGTTGCTCAGGCATCTCAGGTGTGTCGTTGTCTTACTCTTCACTGGACGACGAGCTCTGTTTGGGAGTTCGATTAGCTATAGGGTACTTTGATCGTGTCCGCGCAACAACAGGTAATGCCTCCCTCGACGTCTTGTCCACTGCGTTGAACCAAGGCTGCTGATGCCACTTGATGAAACTCAACTCTCGAAGCTAAGGAATCAACGTGCCAAAACCTCAACCCTTTGAGCTTGTAGAATTGAAACTCGGAACTGAAGAGAAGAACAGGGGAAGATGGGTTTGGAAGGTGCAACTTCAACACACGAAATCGGGGAAAGGCTCGATCCAATTGGGTGCAATCGTCCACGATTGATGGGAACAATCAATCGATGCTGAGCTCGCTCGTTTATGGACGTAATTCCACACAACAAGGAAAAATTAAAGAGCTTGAAAGACTCGATGAACATTATTAAAATTTGACTGCCGATTATAACGCAATAAACGTCCTTATATAGCTAGCTAGAATAAATCGATTGACACCCTCCTAAACTTAGTGGAACTCGACAAACAATCCTCAAACAGAAAAGGAATAAAACTCCAACTCAAACAAGGAAACAAGAACAATCCTGCCGTAAGCTCCAAGTCACCAAACAACCTTCGTCACCATCTTGGAGGCTCTCGATCGATGACTTCCAAGTTGGCCACACATCAACCGATGCCTCTCCTTTCTAGAGTGAAATACATATTCTCATGTGGTAAGAAGCTCCTCCTTCGAATCGATCTCATCTGCCTTCAATGGAGCTCCAAAGTTGACTTCCTGACCATGCTTCCACACTTGGCCAATTCCTGGCAGTTTGCCAGTTTTGAGATAGCTACTTTAAGGTTTTGAAAAGCAGTCTTAATGACATTGTATGAACCCCAAGCCCATACCATCTTGTTCAGGAAGTCTTCATCTTCGAAATGACGCCCTAAAATCCCATTTCCATCCACCCATTTGAAAGAACCGAGCTCCCAAAGTTGGCTACCTGAACACCTCAATATACTTGGCCAAAATTCCAAATTGTTCAAATGAGTTGGGCTAGCTTCATGTGCAAGTAATTTGAGCTTGGTAATGACGCAATTCTGGGTTGTATCAGGCTCTCCCTCTCCAAAAAGCTTTGTCCTCACAGCTGGTTCTTTCTTCTCGAATTCGGCACAGAACTGAGTCCAAATCGGGTCGGAAAATGGCATCCCAAACTCGAAATCATGCAAAACAACGTTTGTGTTCTTGAGCACAAAAGTTCGGGGATTTGAATGGAGGCATCCCCAATCCAATTCACCTAATCCAAACTCTTCGCCATGCTTCCAATTTAAGTTTTGTACCTGGCCCCAGTCTCGAATCATCACCATTGTCGACGAATCTTCGAGTTCTTCCTTCTCGCCGTCAGCCACATTTGAATGTTCGGATTTGGGCGTTTTTTATTCAAGCTTTGCCGAGATGAATTGGTCTCTTTGACACGTTCCTAGGTCCTCCTTGAATGATTCTCCAGCGCCAATTTGGCTCGAATCGAGCCCAGTCGCTCTATCCACTAGAGGGTCGGCGACAGCCGTTTGCTTCACGAACAGAGTCATTTTCGTGTGAGTTGATTCTCCAAATTTAGGTACGTTCAAATCCAATTTGTGCACTTTCGGCGTTTCATGGGTTGTGGGGATCTCGTCGACACCGGCGGCAAAGTTTGAATCTTCATCGGAGATTCCACCGAAATCGTTCTCTCTCATGCTCTGTTTTGACGTCGGCGAGCAGAGCCTCCAGTTTTTGGGCTGTCGACGAGGACTGCTCCTGCTTAGTGCTGTGAGCATTAACCTTCGCGCCACCACTCCAACTTCACGACGCTCCCCAGACTGTGCACCAAGGGTCTCGCCGTTGTTTTGGCTCCAATTCGCCGTCATTTGTTGTTGATCGGCCCTGACTTCAGATGGAGTTAACGGCTTGAGTAGAAACTTGCGAGCATTGTGTGTGAACCGGTACGAGTTTCCCCTGCCGTCATGTACGACTTCACGATCGTATTTCCATGGTCTTCCCAGCAATAGGTGTGCGGCTTACATCGGAGCCACGTCGCACCATAACTCATCCTCGTACTCGGCTATTTGGAAGCGAATCTTTACCTGCTTGTTGACCTTGAGGGTGTCGTATTCGTTCAACCAGTGTAGGTTGTACGGTTGAGAGTGCTTAGCCGTCGTAAGCCCGAGTTTCTTAGCGGCTTCAAGACTGATGACGTTCGTGCAGCTGCCCCCGTCAATTATATTACAACGGACAGTAACTTCCTTTCGACTGTGCAACGGGTGTGAAAAAGGTTGCCCCGTTGCTCTTCGTCAGCGAGGGAGTCCAGCGTAAGAATCCGTCGATTTACGCCGAGAAACTTACCAGAAGGTGGGACTTCGGACTCAATTGCTTCGTCTACTTCAGGGTCAGAATCAACCTTGTCATCGTGGGGATCTTCTTCCTCGTCTTCGGAGACATACTCCCCATCGCGAAGTACCAAAGCCTTTTTATTCGGACATTGATTGGCCTTGTGGCCTCTGCCGAAACATTTGAAACATTGTATACTGCTTGTCGACCCTCCCGATCTTTCGTGCGTCACCGGAGCAGTCGTTCGAGGCGCCACTTTGGTCCCCTCCACTTTGTTCTGTTCGGTAGTGGCTAACGGACGATGTTCAGAGGCCAGTTTTGACTTTGAGTACCTCCTTCCCATGCTTGATCACTGCTGTTTCTCCACCTTGATCGCCATATGTATAACTTGGTCAAGTTCCACGAATTTCCGCAGCTCTTGATCGCCATATCTCATTCCTTAGTTCGATTAGCTATAGGGTACTTTCATCGTGTACGGGCAACAACAGGTAATGCCGCCCTCAACGTCTTGTCCACCGCGTTGAACCAAGGATGCTGATGCCACTTGATAAAACTCAACTCTCGAAGCTAAGGAATCAACGTGCCAAAACCTCAACCCTTTGAGCTTGTAGAATTGAAACTCGGAACTGGAAGAGAAGAACAGGGGAAGATGGGTTTGGAAGGTGCAACTTCAACACACGAAATCGGGGAAGAGGCTCGATCCAATTGGGTGCAACTCGTCCACGATTGATGGGAACAATCAATCGATGCTGAGCTCGCTCGTTGATGGACTTAATTCCACACAACAAGGAAAAATCAAAGAGCTTGAAAGACTCGATGAACAATGGTTTTTTTATTAAACTTTGACTGCCGATTACAACGCAGTAAACATCCTTATATAGCTAGCTAGAATAAATAGATTAACACCCTCCTAAACCTACTGGAACTCCACTATTGGAATTGGGTTCCAGTACAAAGCAGTAGGTTGATTAACTCTCGTATAACCAATCTACCACTACCGAATGATGAAGCTCTAACAACCTAATCAGATTCTATCTATCTCAGGTTGCAGCAGAAATCAAGAAAAGATGATCAGACTTCAATTGATTCAATGAATCATGCATCATTCGATTAAAACCAAACAGTATAACAATCCCAAGTCATTACAATCAAGATCCCTAACACATGGAACTAGGGTTCTACATACCCAAGTGAGAGAGGGTTCTACTCCATAGAGAGAGAGAGAGAGGAAAACAGAATACAAAGCAGTCATACTCATAACAATGGGAAGAATCTGCTCTAGGATGATGATCTTCACTCCAAGGATGATTTCCAAGCTTGATTGATGAAACCCAGCTCCAAAACCACTCTTAGGGGGTGTTCTTCACACTTTCTCTCTCTAGGGCTCTGTTTTTGCTCAAAAAGGTTGATTCCCTCTCCTTTGGCTCGAATTTGGTTTAAAACCCAGAAAATCCCGACCACACAGGCAGGCCACACGGCCTTGTGGCTTTCCCAGCTGCCCGTGTGAGTGTCAAAACACCGAATTTCGATTAAGGGACTTCCAGCCATCCTACACGGCCACAACCACACGGCCGTGTGGATTTCCAGGCTGCCCGTGTGAGTTCCTTGGAATTTCCACACGGCCACAGGGGTTCCCTTACACGATCGTGTGGGATTTAGGCATGCCCGTGTGACTTCCTCAGCTTCTCGTCAAACGTCCGATCTCCGTCCAATCGACCCCGAACTCGTTCCCAAACCTTCATTCACGTACTAGGACCTGAAATATCACAAACAAGCACAACCTAGTGTGAAATCGGCCTAAAACATGAGAATCAACATCTCAAACGGCTCAAGAATAGGGGTAAAAACATGTGCAATTAATGGTCTATCAAACTCCCCCAAACTTAACCATTTGCTTGCCCCCAAGCAAACCTGAATCAAACCAAGACAACTCTCCAGACCTCTATAGCAACATGCAACCCCGATCGTCGGCAGAGGATTTTCTAGATTATTTAGCAACTTACGAGGTCAACTGGTCTTCTAAGACGCCTACTATCTCTCTCAATGCGAGTACTAGACTCAAGCAAGGATCATGAGAAGCAGTGGAACTAAGACATTCAATTCATGGATAAGAAGACTCACACAATTCAACAACCAAGGACTCATTGTATCGGGTGCTCTTTCATTTCATTTCACTTGTTGGAACCCCTTCTTCTTACTATTTGTTTTTTTTTTCTTTGCTGGGGTTCTAACTGCAGTTTGTATGCGCGGTCTGCCCTTATTAGGTGAGCAAGAGCAATTTCTGTACATCTGTCACTCGCCAGAGTACTTCATGTAACTCCTATTCCTCACTTCGTGTGGAGGGTCAATGAAATTAAGGGGGGTCGGAAGCTCTATCCGTGCCCTTAAAAACACATCCTCAAGTAGGCCAACCGTTCAATGGGTGGAAATTTTACTTGTACTAGAGACAACTTAGCTTCACCTTGTAGGCCTACCCCACCAAGGATCACTAAAATCTCTTCCAAAACCCGATTTTGTGCAATGAACGGTGGCACACACGTTGGGCTTACCCCATGTCTTAGAATTTCAAATTTTTGACATGGAGGACCAACTGCTTTTTTTCATTTCACACTTGAGCACCCTTTTTCGATACACGAGCCCACAACACAACATAATAGGAGTCATCAATACCACATGAATCAACGGTCCTAAATCCACTAGTTCACAAAATCAACCGGCACAGCAGAGAGACAGATAGGAAAAATCTTATACTTCAACATCCTCCATAGTGCTACAACTACCTCCCTAGGTCGCATATCACCATAAAGACTGTCAATTCAAAGCATACTGAGCAGGATTTTGCAGGGAACAGTACTTGGAGCCCTCAATTCATCAAATTGGACAGTGGACTAGGCTCCAAGCAAACAAACTCATCTAGCAGTCAAAAATAGATAAACACCCCCCCCCCCACGCACACACACTTAAGTACGACATTGCCCTTAATGGAGCAAGAGAAAGATAAGGGGGAACGATGTTACCTGGAATACGGACTGTCAGGGGACTGGAAATGGGACCAGTCAGCAGGTCTAGAGTCATCAAAACACACTTGGTGATAGAAACCATAGTTCCAAGTGGACAAATCGAAAAAAAACGAAGGAAAAACAAACCTTGGTGGGGTTGCCTCCCCACAAGCGCTTCTTTTACGTCGTAGCCGGACGGTGGCTCCTAAGTTTCGGTCCACCCCAAAACCTCCTTGAAGTTGAGGTTCTCGTCGATGATGTGGAGTCACAAGTCACAAGCAGGTGATGTGATAGGTGATGAAGATGGCTCGTGGCCTTGATGAAGTCCCCACTCACGAGACCTCTCCTTCGCGTCTGCTCTTGTCTCGCTGTCTCAAACCAGATAAGATATATTCGATTGACCACCATCACATCCACCAAGAGGGATTGATGTTGATGTGGTCTTGGTCTGGCGAAGAGACACTGCAAATGGGTCCTTGCCAAGCAGCTCTTCGAAGTTTGGTGGAGATATCAAATGTAACATAGGGCCGGTGCAAGCCTCTTCCACCTCAACTTCATCCTCAGCCTGGATGCCAATTGCTTCCTCAACCCCCCTTCCTTCATCAGAATGTGGTCTCTCCCCTTGGAAAAGATCAAGAACTTCCTCTTCTTTGCTTTCTTCATCATCCTCCACAACTTCTTCCCTCACCCTTTCTCGCTCTTCTTCTTATAGAACAGATTGGAGAGCAAGTCGCCATGTAATTTCTTCAATGAGATCATCTTGTATCTCCTCGCTCGGGCCCAGCTTGTTAGAGCAGAAATGAGGAAAGGTGTGATATGCAACCAGAGGACTTTCCTGATCATGATTATCATGGAAGTTCTCTATGATAACTTCTGTATGCTCCTCAACGTCCCCGTAGCCTTTGTCATCCTCCACCTCTTCTAGCGTGGTTGCAGAAAGGTGATCTTGAGCAGGATGTGAGCAAACTTGCTCCACCCACTTTGTTTGCTTCGCTGAGCACTGAACAGTCTTCTCCATTTCATGGAGAAATGAGGGATCGGAAGGGGCAAGGGCTTTGATTTGAAGATCCATCTTGGAGCATGATCTCTCAGTGTCTCGAGCAAACTTCTCCACGAGAAGCCTTAATTGTTTGTTCGGATCTTCCAGTGAAGTGTAGCATAGCTCTACAGAGTGGCCCGTGAAGGCCTCCATGGCTAACTCCAACTCAGATGGCCCCTCTGGTTGTGGCAGGAACTCTTCTTGAAAAGGATATTGTTCTTGAGCTTCCCAAGGGTTTGGTTGTTCTCCGTAGTAGGGGGGTTGGTACTGACATCTGAATCCATAGTCTTCTCCTCCTTGATTCCTCAATGGAATTCTCGGGTAATACCACACAAATGGTGGTTGATAACCCCAATGGTTGGAGAAGCCATGAGAATCCATGTTTCAGATCTGCACCAACAAAAACATAACACCCAAGTGAAAATCAAGGGTGGAAAAGAAAAGAAAAAAACTAAAGTAAAAGACTTTCACGTTTCTACAATAACCTAGAGGTTCCCCGGCAACGGCGCCAAAAACTTGACACGCTAAAAAACAACACCAAACTGCGACCAAGTGTAATCGCAGTTCGGGAATGCAGTAAAGTGGCAAGTTCTAATTATCAACCCGGGGTCTAGATCTACTGCCTACTCCGTGAACATCTATTATCTAGCCAACTAAGTCGATTGATTGTGGTTTTAACTAAAAACAATAAGAAAGCAGGAAATGGTTCGGTTTTCTGAAGCAAAGGAAGAGTCACTCGGGAATGAGTCCCCCTAGCTCCTTCGTTAGGTCTTAGTTTTAATTACCCTGGGTTGATTTACTGTTGATTAATGACTCACTTATACTGTCACTCCAGGAATTGGCCAAGTGAAACCACTTCCTAAAGCGTAGTATAGCGGGTTTGGGTTTAAATGTCAACCCGGGTCCTAGATTTGATGCAAGTCTAAATGTCAACCCGGGTCTTGTTATCTAGCAATGAAACTTTAATGCAAGTCTAAACTAACAAACTAACAAAGCAAGTAAACAGTTGTATTCAGGTTAAGAGAGGTCACCCGGATATGGTTCCCCCTAGACTGCAGTTAAGCCGGATTGTAATTACCAAGTTCAGTTTCTATGATAGTTATACTGCGGAAGGTTCTTAAACAGCCTGAAGTCTCGACTAAAGGTCTTCAGACCCTCTCAATCTGAGTCTCTAGCGGGCGACTAACCTCCACCGGAGTAAACAGATTGAGGCCTTAACAAACAAAACCTCCACTACCGGAGTAAATCCGGTACAGAATAGTGAGTTGGCTCCTCGACTAAAGTCACCAACTCCCTATCTTCAATCAAGGATGCTCTATCAACCTAGGCAGATATTCTCATTCTAGGTTAAATCAGAAACAACAGGATTTTGATCAGGATTCAAGTCATTCAATCATTCAAACCTCAATCGAATATAATCAAATCATAGAATCAGTACTTGGGTTCATACAATCAAACCTAACATACAAATCTAGGGTTCTCCATACCCAGATGAATGGGAGAACTACTCCATGGAGAAAGAAGCAAAAGCAGAATCAGACGCGGAATTCATACTGTGAAGGATGGATTCCTGCTCCTGGACGTTGATCGGCACTTCTCCAAGCTCAAGCTGGCCTCCAATGGTGATGAAGATCAAGCTAGGGCACTTGGAGACTCTTGTTCGTCGCTTTCTCTCTCTAGGAATTGCTCTATCTCTCTCAAAACTCGAATCCCCTTCTCTTTGGCTGAAAATCTGCTTAAAAAGGCATCAGTGGCCAAAGCACGGTCGAGGGCACGGCCGTGTAATGCCTCAGCCCGCCCGTGTTTTGGCTAGTGTTAATTACACGGCCACCTGTTGGAAGAAACACGGCCGTGCTTTTGGATGGACACGGCCGTGCTTTGGTGGACACGGCCGTGCTTTCAGCCCGTATTTTTAGCCAATGTTTGCCAAACAAAATTTGCTCTCGGCAGTAAAAGCACGGCCACAGAACACGGCCGTGTTCTGTTTTAGGTCTGCCCGTGTTTTGGCTCCAGCTTGACGAAATGACTTCCGAATGCCCCGAAACTCGTGCTTAGCCTTTCCTTTGACGCTTGGGACCTGAAATATGACAAAATAGCACAACCCGGCGTAAAATAGGCCAAAATACACGAATATGCCTCTCAAACGGATAAGAATTAGGGGTGCAAATACGTGCAATTACATCGTTATCAAATTCCCCCACACTTAACCGTTTGCTTGTCCCCAAGCAAACCAAGTCAGACACAAGGTAAGCTCAAAACAACAAGGCATGACATATCGGCACAAAACACGTGGATCATACTGCCTTTCAATCAGTAACACATGGACAAATTCAATGACAACCTAGACAACCACCACAGATGACATTCGAATGCAGTAAAACCGAGCAAAGGAAGAGTCTCCCTACTGTTCACCAACCAACATAGACTTGACTCAACCACTTGTGCAAAACAGTCACATCATGCACAAAGTTCAAGATATCAGAATTAAGACCGAGCAATCTAGGTCCTCACCGGGATAAAGAGTAAAGAGAATAAGAGGAAACGAATCGCTCACTCTCGACCAGTGGGGTCAGGACAATATGATGCGAAAAATGCGCATGCTTAATCTCTCAATCCCTAAAATCTCTTCATCATGAATGCAGCCTCTAAGTGCTAGAGTTCACATATGGGGTGTCATCACTAACTAATCCGGAGGTCTTAGACACAGGTTCAGATGACTGGCTAGGGTCTTGGACATGGGAAAATGCCTTCTAGGTGGTGGAAGTATTCATACAGCACAAGGTTCCACATTTCCAAACCCAACAGACTCACAATCAATCAAACCAATAACTTTCTTTCTGCTATTCTGCATTACTCATGTTCAAAGCACAATAGCGAAGGAGGTTACATAAATGCTAGTATTTCTAAGCCAGACTGCTAAGAAACACTACTACATGGGCATTATTCAAATTTTTGGGGGTGGCTCTCTTTTGCTTTCATTTTTTTTTTCTTTGTTTTTCTGTCATTATTTTTCATTTCATAAGAGAACCAACGCCTCTGCACAATTTCAAACACCTGCCCAACTTTTAAGCACTACCTCCAACCCTCACATTACGTTTAGCAGAAACAGCAGAGAATATGTAAATATCACTCTGTGGAACCTTCTAAAAGATGCAAAAGGGTGACTTTTCATTGAAGACCGAAATAAAGGAAAACACATGGCTCAAAGGGGCTGACTAGGGGTATGACACACCAGGACAGTCAATTTGGTCGTGGGCTAATCCTATGCCTCCATCATCTTAGCTAATGACAACGCGAATGCTGCACATCATGGAAGAGGAAACTATCGCACAAGAAAGAAACGAGCAGGCTCAAATCTCACATGGCTACCTATATGCTCTATCTCTCGTTCTGATTCCCTGAACTAGATGCATAAATGACTGTCAAAAGCAAGTGATCAAACCAAGTCACATTTGGTGAGCAGATAGTTGAAAAAAAACTGAACCCCTACACAATTCTACTACACATCTCAGTCATCACAATAAGTTGTCTAAGTCACACTCAAGTTTTCATGTATCAAGTCAAAAGCCATTCAATTCACTAATCACATCCACAGTGCCAATACGATCAATCATCAAGCAAACAGCCGTGCTTGGAGCCCTCAAATCTCGAGATTTGGACAGTGGACTAGGCTCCAAGCACACATATATACGTTCCAATTCATACAAAGAACCACCCCCCCCCCCCCCCCACAATTAAACGCGAAAAATGTCCTCAATGGAGCAGAGGAAAGGGGAACGATGTTACCGTGAAACAGTGGTCATGAACGTTGATTGGATGGCGGACCAGTCAAAAGAAGAAGGCACAGAGCTAGACACAACAAAAACACACACACTGGGTGATAGGGATCAGAGTACCAAGTCTACAATCCAAGATAAAAAAAACAAAAGAAAACGAAATCACAAAACATGGAGTCTCAGTCTGGAACACAAATAAAGCACAAAACCCGCTCTAGAAGGCATCACCGCCATCGCCGGTGGGTGGAGGGTACTCATCCTCAAACCCTGGGGACTGCACGAACGGGTAGTGGACCGCGTTCGGGTCCAAGCCCAAGTAGGACATGATGTAGTGCTGCCCCGACATGAGACGACGCCCTCGGTCCCGCTCACGATCAAGGCGGGTGTGGAGGCGCTCCTGGCCAGCCAGGATGCGCTCATTCTGCAGAGCGATCGCCGCCAACTGGTCAGAGATGGGCACCACCACTGGAGGAGGTGACCCAGGAGAAGGAGACCGGGGAGCAGGAGAGGGGCTCGCGGGAGCCTGGGCACGACGGGGAACGCGACGGGGAACGCGGCGCCCACCAGCGGCGCTCGACTCGGCCTGGTCGCCCTCTACAGGTATAGGTGGCTGAGGAAGGCCCGCGATCCAGCGCACACGCTCGAGGCAAGCAACCAAGTGCTGGTGACGGAGAGTAGACTCGCCGAGTGGGGTTGCTCCGCGGACCAATGTCATCCCTGTGTAGTCCACCCCGTAGTTGCGGGCCAAGGCGGTGATCACCGGGCCACAAAGGAGGCTGCGAGTCATGCTGATGGCTACCTTAGTGAACGTCCGGGCAAGCATAGAGCCCAGCTGGATGGTGTCCTCAGAACGACCCATCGCATGCAACAACCAGAGAGTCCGGAGTGTGACCCGGTTGGACGAGCCCTGGCTGGGTGTGTAAGAAGTGCACATCAGGTGGTTGAGGATCCGCCACTCCGGACGGAGGAGAGCAGCCCGCGTTTGGCTGGCCACATACTCTTCATCCACACTGTCTGGCAGGCAGATGCTCTGAAAGTACGCCTGGGAAGCGAAGTCGGTGGGATCTGAGAGGTCCAAGCGGAGAGGAGGCCCGCCTGCTGCCCGGGAATTGAGACAAAGTGCATTGGCGAACTCCCAGTAACTGAGGGAGTGCTCCACCCCGCCGAGGGTGAACTAAACGGCGTCAGCATGGTCGGAGTTCCCCTTCGAGTTGTGGTGGAAGGTGGCATAGAACTCCCAGACCAGCTCCTTGTAGGTCGGCTCGGCGAGGGTGAGAAGACGCCGCCAAGCAGGGGAACGGACCGCGGCCTCCATCTGTGGCCTAGCATGGAGCTCCTCAAACACCTCCCAATCGAGGTGAAAGTGCTCGGCGATACTGCAGGTACGGAGGTTCCGCAGCTTCTGGCGCTGGACGATGTTCATCTGGTCGAGAAAAACCTCCATGATCCTGCAAAACACAATGAAGGGCAAAGTGTACATAAGCAAACGGGGTCAATGTTAGGCCAAAACCACATCGGGAGCCCTCATATCGAAAGATATGGACAGTGGACTAGACTTCCGGCGACACAAACATACCCATCATACGAGATTTACACAGCAAAATACACTGGGGACCCTCAAATCGAGCGATTCGGACAGTGGACTAGGCCCCCGGTGAAACAAGCATACCACAACTGTACTAAATAGCACCAATCGAGTTATCACAGAAAAAAAATCACATATCACGCATACCATGCAACATGCAATCAGCCCAATCATCCCCCAAACCCAAAATATTCTCAAACCATTCATTCCACAATCAGAAGTTCTTCACCTAACTCTAGGTATCGATTCTCCAAAAATATAGGAAAAGACAAGGAGAACACACCTGGAGACGCAAGAAGAGACCACGAGAGAGGTGAAGAAAGTGGAAAGAAGCACCCAAAGTCGTCGGAAAACACACCGGAGACTCGCCGGAAAACTCACCGCCGGCGACCCAACCTCAGCCAAACCAGCCAAAATCTTTGGGGAATGTGCTCCTCGACGCCAAGAGCGTGGGGGCGCGCGCGGTTTGTGATTTGGAGGTCGGGAGAGGAAGTTATGGCCGGAAAATCGAAAGAGAAGGTGAATGGGGCGATTTTCCGGCGAGGGGGGCTGGGGAAATTTGAAAAAATGATTGATCTGTGGGTGGGGGGGCTGAAAAATCGTTTTTATAGGGGGGAGCGAAACACGGGCGAGGCATTACACGGCCGTGTTCTGCCTGCTCCGCACCCGTGTTCTCCCTCATTAAAACACGGGCGGGCTCCTTTCAAAACACGGCCGTGTTTTTGAAGGGCCCGTGCCCGTGCTTTTTATGCCGAGGCTAAAAGGCAAAACACGGGCGGGCTCAGGGCAAAACACGGCCGTGTTTTGGCCCCTGCTGCCCGTGTTTTTACTGCCGAGCCTAAAATGCCTTTTTTTCAATTTTCAAACTCAAACCACCAAGATTCATTCGTGCCCCGGCTCTAAAATTTACCAAATCACACATCAAAAAGAACCGCCCGAGGCACGAAAAACTTTCCAGACTGACTCCAGACAGACTCAAAGACTCAAAAACCGACAAAAATGAAATAAATAGATAAAAACAAAGGGTAGAAATGCAAACCGTGGTGGGGTTGCCTCCCCACAAGCGCTTCTTTACCGTCTTTTAGCTGGACGCCAATTGCGGAACTAAGGGTCCGCGAGCTCCACTGCTAACTCCGCACGTTCGACCTCGTCTCCCAGGTAGAGCTTGAGACGATGGCCATTCACTTTAAACGGCTCAGTTTGCGGGTTAGCAATCTCAATCGTGCCATACGGGAACACCTGTGTGACCGTGTACGGTCCAGACCACCGGGAACGGAGTTTTCCGGGAAAGAGCTTTAGGCGATAGTTATAAAGGAGAACTCGATCACCAACCTGGAACTCTTTCGGACCCCGCAACCGTGCATCGTGTAGGCCCTTCGTGCGCTCCTTGTACAGCTTGGTTTTCTCATAGGCGTGATAACGCCACTCTTCCAGCTCCAACATCTGCATTTTTCGCTCAACACCTGCAACACTAACATCCAAGTTTAGCAGCTTAAGGGCCCAGAAGGCCTTGTGCTCTAGCTCCACGGGCAAATGGCATGCCTTTCCATAGACAAGCCGGTACGGTGAGGTACCAATGGGCGTCTTGTAGGCAGTGCGATATGCCCACAGAGCATCATCGAGCTTGGTGGACCAATCCTTGCGGGATAGATTCACCGTCTTCTCCAAGATCCGCTTGAGCTCCCGGTTCGTCAGCTCGGCCTGGCCACTAGTTTGAGGATGGTAGGCCACGGACACCTTATGAGTTACACCATAGCGAGACAACAACTTATCGAACTGACCCTGGAAATGGGTGCCTCGGTCGCTTATGATGGCTCTAGGTGTCCCGAACCGGGAGAATAGCTGTTTCAGAAAACCACAAACAAGTCTAGCATCATTAGTGGGCAAAGCTTGCGCCTCAGCCCACCTAGAGACGTAGTCAACAGCAACAAGGATATATGTATTACCAAAGGATGGAGGGAAGGGGCCCATGAAGTTGATACCCCAGACATCAAAAATCTCACAAGTAATAAACACATTCTGGGGCATCTCATCACGGGCAGAGATGTTACCTGACCTCTAGCATCGGTCGCACCTGCGTGCGAAGGCGTCTGCGTCCTTGAAGAGCGTGGGCCAGTAGAAGCCCGACTGGAGCACCTTCCTCGCCGTGCGGTTTCCTCCGTGGTGACCACCATCAGGTCCTTCATGACAGTGAGATAGAATGCCCTCCATCTCACTCTCCATAACACATCGACGGATGATCCCGTCGGCTCCGACCCTGAAGAGATGAGGGTCATCCCAGAAGTAGTACTTCATGTCGGAGAAAAACTTCCTCTTGGCGTGAGTTGTCATCCCCTTGGGCAGCTGCTGGCCCACAAGATAATTTGCAAAATCGGAATACCAGGGGGTGACACTCTCCACCAGGCACATCATCATCAGTCTCTCATCTGGAAAGGAGTCATTGATCTCCTCCTCGAGGTTGTCCGCAGGGGGTGCGTCCAACCGGGAGAGGTGATCGGCAGCAACATTCTCCGCTCCCTTCTTGTCCCGAATCTCAATGTCAAACTCCTGCAGCAGTAAGATCCATCGTATGAGCCTAGGCTTGGCATCAGCCTTGCTCATCAAGTATCGAATCGCGGAGTGATCTGTATACACGGTCACATGGGACAAGACCAGATAAGGACGAAATTTATCAAAGGCAAACACCACCGCGAGCAGCTCCTTCTCCGTGGTGGTGTAGTTCTCCTGGGCATAATTCAAGGTCTTCGAGGCGTAGTAGATAGGTCGGAAATGCTGATCTCGCCTCTGCCCCAACACAGCTCCAACAGCAAAGTCACTGGCATCGCACATAATCTCAAATGGTAGGGACCAGTCAGGAACAACCATGATAGGAGCTTGTGTGAGCTTCTCCTTCAAGGTCGTGAAAGCCGCTGTGCATGCATCAGTGAACTGGAAGGGGGCATCCTTCTCTAGAAGCTTAGTCAGGGGCAGAGCAATCTTCGAGAAATCCTTGATGAATCGCCTGTAGAACCCTGCATGACCAAGAAAACTCCGGATCCCCTTAACAGATGTAGGAGGAGGCAGCTTGCTGATAGTCTCGATCTTCGCCCTGTCCACCTCAATCCCCATCTTGGAGATCCTATGCCCAAGAACTATGCCTTCTCGAACCATGAAGTGACACTTCTCCCAACTCAGTGCCAGGTTCGTTTCTTCACACCCTTTAAGGACAAGCTCCAGGTTATGGAGACAGTCAGAAAATGAGTCTCCATAAACCGAGAAATCGTCCATAAACACCTCCATAATCTCGCCGACCAGACGGTCAAAGATAGCGAGCATGCATCGCTGAAAAGTGGCCGGGGCATTGCATAGCCCGAATGGGATCCTCCGGTAGGCAAAGGTGCCGAAGGGGCAGG